AAAAAAAAAAAAAAAAAAAAAACGCTTGCGCACACGACACACCACCGATGAAACCAAACCATTCATTCCCCCAAAAAAGAAACACCAACACCAAAAATATCACAAGATGCTCTTGAACTCAAAAAATAGATATGTACGTGCGGACACGGTTCATCACACGCACGCCGCTTGAAGCGACAAGAAAATAAATACTTCTACTAGAACAGCGCAACCACACGGAAAAACAACCTGCACGAAGGGCATCACAATATTCTCAAATACTCAACAGAAAATGTACGACTACACATAGACGTAGTGCTATGGTTGGACGATAAGAAAAAAAAAAAAGGTGCAAACAAACCCCCCCAACCCCCCCCGCTTCCGCACAGTTACAGAGAACGAACCTCATCGAGTAGCCGTAGTCCCGGCCGTCAAAGAACGCCTCCTTTGCCTCCGCCACCATTGCCGAGTCGGCCGGGTGCGGCGCCATTATCCTGTCGATGGCGCCCACCCAGTCCCCCTCCAGCAGCCGCAGCCCCACGTCCAGGTTGTTGGTGCCGTCGCGGCCGAACCGCTGCTCCCCGAAGAAGTTGACGAACCCCTGGGTTGGGTTTGGGTTTTGTGTGTGTGCGTTAACAGGCTGGCCAATGAAAAGACGTCAACGCGTTTGTGTTGTGTGTTGTGTGCGTTTTAGGTAGTATGATAGTATCGACAGCTGCTCCCCGAAGGAGTTGACCAACCCCTGAGTTCGTGCTTTTGTGTTTAATTTGTATTTTTTCTCAATTCGCATCGACCGCGCTAAGCCAACCGGATTACCAATGAAACGACGCCAGTCTTGCAGTAGCGGGATAAAAAAAACATGAGCATTTGTTAACCAAAGGTTGAGGCTTCTACAGACAGGGAAACGCAGGTTCTTTTGTACCACGTGTTTTCTGTGTTTGGACCATGCTACACGTGTTTGTGTGGTTGTTTTCGTGTTTTGTGTGATACGTCTTTGGACCGTGCGACACGTGTTTGTGCGTGTGCGTGTGTTTGTGTTTTGTGTTTCTTGTTTGTGTGCGTCTACGAGCAACCGCCGACACCACAACAAGCGGGAGAGAAACCCCCCCCCCCTCGCCCTCACCTAGCGCCCCCCCCCCGGTGTTTGCCATCGGGGTTGGGTTTTCGTCGCTTGGCAA